TCAGTGCCTATTCAAAAGTTGCAAGAACCTTTGCAGCCGTCGATGTCTCTACAGCTGCTAGAATCTATGCAGTAACCAAAACGCCTATCGGAGTCTCAATCTCAGCCGGCTATGGTTACCTCTCCAAAGCTGTTAGACAAAAATTCAGGAGTATTAGATGCAGGCATTAAAACTTATTTGAATATGGTGGTAACTGCTGCTCCATCTATTTTGCCTATCCAGCTGGACAAGGATCTTGTAACGACCATAATGAGGGGAGTTAATGTGATTCCGAATGATTCCATAAATCATGTTGCCATTAAGGATGCCAATCAATTGGTTCCTAAATATCATCTTATTCCATCTGCAAGTATTGGCACGTGGAAACACACTCTGCCAGCTGCACTTGACCATATCGGCTCCAAGAGGAAAGGCAGTCTTACTCTACTTGATCCTACTCCCAAGAGATGCAAACATGTTTCAGACACTGTTCCATCTGATACTTTTCTATCTACATCGGTGAAGGTTGCTAGGCAGCCTCGCTGGGAGCCATGAAAACCTTATGCTGGAATGTCTGTGGGTTGGGGACCCTAGGACATTCAGAGTTGCCTTTGATTTTATTCACCAGGAAGACCCTCAATTGCTTTTTCTTATTGAAACGAAATGTAATTCCCTTTTAACAAATAAATTGTAACTTTCTCTCAACTACCCTGGTTGTTTTACTGTAAACAGTACAGGTCTTAGTAGCAGTCTCTGTTTGCTCTGGAAGGATCCAATGGACATCTCTATATGAACTTTCTCTTCTCATCACATTGACTCTACCGTTCGTTGATCCAACTTTGTTTGGCGCTTTACTGGTTTCTATTGTCATCCTAAAACACACAAGAGAGTTCTTTCTTGGAAACTTTTGTGAAGGCTTCACAATTCTGATGACTTCCCTTGGCTGGTTGGAGGAGAATTTAATGCTATTCTTTGGCCCCATGAACAAATGGGTGACCATCCGACACTCGGCTTATCATTGATTTCCGTTCAGCTTTGGACTCTTATTCCCTTATTGACATGGGCTATTCAGGGGACCATTTCACATGGTTTAATAATCGCCATGCTTTTGCCCAACCATGGAGACGACTTGACAGATTCATTTGTAATAGCTCCTTTTTCAGTCTTTTCCTGAATGCACTGCCCAAGCATCCTGATTGGTCCAAGTCAGATCATAGGGCCATAGCGTTAATCCTAATCCAACACTCTCATTCTCGGCGTCAGTGTTTTTGACGAAGGGATTTCAAATTTAAGGAATGATGGACCCGTTATGATTCTTGTCGAAACATTATTCATGATTCTTAATCTTGGTCGAGAAGAGGTAGGTCTCTTCCATTAACCACTAACCTCACTCGCACTTCTAAGGCCTTGCCTCACTGGGGCACTAGTACCATTCGAGGCTTTTTCATTGAGATTCGGAAGAAAGAAGAAGCTCTTGCAGATGCATACAATAAGCCACCCCCATTGATTTTAATTATGTGCATCACTTTGGAAATTGGTAGCATTTGCTATGGATCACTTTTTACAATGAAAAAGGCTTCCCTTCTGTCGCACCATCATTGCGACGCGGAGCGGCCGACGTCAGATATGAGTGGCAAATTTAAGACTTGAACTTGGGTCATGTACATTAAAAAACTAAACAATCTTACCACTATGCTAACATCTTACGATATAAACATTATATTCTTTTACACAAACAAAAGTTTTAATTTATTTTTTTAAACTAAAAAAAACTACGAATTTTGTTAAATTAAAACAAAAAAATATCTTTTTTATTTATTTCGAAATTAACAAAATTATTTAAAAGAAAAAAAATTTATTTAAAAACAAAGTCAAATTTACTTTAACAAAACTTATTTGCTAAAAACTGATTTTTTGTTAACATTTTTTCAAAACCATAACCACCAAACCATTAAAAGAATTTTAAATGAGATTTTATTCTAAAATACTCTGTTTTTATCTCCTCCTTTAAAATTTTGCAGCAGAAGATTTTTTTTTAATTAAAAAATAAAATAAAAGAAACACAAAAAATATAAACCTTGTGAAAAAAATCATTTTAAATAAAAACTACATTTTAAATAAAAAGAATCCAAATTTAAACTTTGAATCCAAATTTAAAAGAATCCAAATTTTTTTTAAAGAAGATTTATTTTATAAAACTCCTATTTTTTCAACGTATTTTAACCAAAATTTTAAAGTAAAATATTTAAAATTAAGTTTATATTTATTTCATTTTAAAAACTCTTCTTTATTAGAAAAAGAAAACCTTTTATTCTAAAACAAATTTTAAAATATCAAAATCCTTATTTTATTTTCAAAAACTTATTTAAATTAATTTAGAAGATTTTTTTCCCTACTAAAAACATTTTCTTTTAAAAAAAAAAACTTTTTCTAAAAAAAACATTTTTTTCTTAAAAAAAACAAAAAAAAATCTTTTGATAGAAACAAAAAAATCTGTTTCAAATTAAAAGCATGATTTCCAAAGCCTTTCTATTTCCAACGTATTTGATACTTACTTAAAATACACTACCAGGGAGGAGACTGTCGTTCGCGTCGTTCCCTTGCGTCGGAGGTCGTGGGTATGCAAGAGAAAAGTGGTGATGGTGGGATAAGAGAGATGGAGAGAAGAAGATATGGTGATCAGGTGATGGGTTTCTAACTCTCTGCCTGTGTGTTCTCTGTTTTTTCTCCCTTCTCTGTGTGTTGTGTGCCCTTTAAATATACCAAAAAAATAACAGTAACATGCGTGAGTCGAGTAAAACCAGAGAAAAAGAGGGAAGGGAAAGCTTCGGTTTTGACCAAGGAAAAACGGGAGGAGAAACCAAATCTTTATTTTTAACCAAAACAGAATCTAAATTTTTTTTAATTAAAAAACCTTTATTTAAAACAAAATTATATAAATAAAATAAAATCTTTTTATTTCTTTTATTTTAATATTAAATCAAATTCTTTAAAACAAAATCTATTTTTTTAATTTAATTTTAATTTTAGCTTATAACCAATAATAAAGTAATCTTATAGTATTTTAAACCAAAATAATCAAAATAAAACTTAATAAAACAAAAATTAAATAGTAAAAATTAAAATTAAAATGAAGCCGGACCAAATACGGTGTCTACACCTTCGAAAGAGTTGCAACACTATTCATGGGATTTATAAAGCTAATTCAGCCAATCCTCCCTGGAAATGGTTTCATAAAAAGGCTTCCCTTCGAAAGAGTTGCAACACTATTCATGGGATTTATAAAGCTAATGGGGATTGGACAGAGAATGCCTCTGAGATTGAGGAGGCTTTTATTTCCTACTTCCAATCAATTTTCACCTCTTCTAATCCATCTCTAGAGGATATGGAAGCTATCATTTGTCACATTCCCACAGCGGTGACTCATGAAATGAATTTGAAGCTCCTCTCTCCTTTCAATAAAATAGATGTGGAGCTGGCCCTTAAACAAATGTTCTCTACAAAGGCCCTAGATCCCGATGGTTTTCCGGGCCTTTTCTATCAAAATTATTGGGACCTTGTTGGGCCAAATATATTTGAGGAATGCTTACAGATTCTGAATATCGGAGGCAGCCTTCAAGCGTACTCTTATCCCGAAGTCTAAACAACCCAGATCAGTATCTGATTTTAGACCTACAAGTTTATGCAATGTGTCCTATACAATTGTGACTAAGGCCTTGGCCGATTGCCTCAAGTATGTCCTTCAGAAGGTTATTTCTCCAGCTTAGTCTGCTTTTGTTCCTAATCGGGCCATCAGTGACAATATCATCATAGCCCATGAGTTCCTTCATATCATTCGTGGTTAGAAAACGGGTTTAAATGGCTTAGCAGTGCTAAAACTTGACCTCAGTAAGGCTTTCAATAGAGTGGAATGATGTTATTTGTAACGTTTAATGATTAAGATGGGTTTTACACCCGCTTGGGTTTGTAGAATTATGACTTTATTTCATCTACACATTTCTCCGTTTTGATTAATGGTCAGCCTGGAGGTAATATTATTCCTACGCGCGATATTTGACAAGGAGACCCTTTATCTCCATATTTGTTTCTTCTTTGTGCCGAGGGTCTTTCCATGATGTAGCATGTTGCTCTACAACGCCAACTCTTCTAGGAATCTCAATGGAATTTCCATAGGTACGAATGGCCGTACAATTTCTCACCTTCTTTTTTGCGGATGATAGTTTAATCTTCTTTAAAGCTAAAGAGCTCGAATGTACTCATTTAAAGAACTTGTTGTTCACCTACGGGAAAGCCTCTGGGCAGCTCATCAATTTTTCCAAATCATCCTTGACGTTTTCACCTAATGTTCATTTGGATCGTTAGCATTATCTCTAGTCTCTCATGGGTGTTCAACTTGTCTCGGAATTTGGAAATTATCTTGGTTTACCTTCCTCTATCTCTCGAAGGAAGGGTCAAGATTGAGCCTTTATCAAGGATCATATCTGGAAAATTATGCAAGGCTGGAAGCAAAACTTATTTTTTGTTGGTGGTAAGGAGGTATTGATTAAAAGTGTAGGTCAAGCAATTCCATGCTATGATATGAGTGTTTTTCGTCTTCCTAAAGGCTTTTGTGAAGATATTTTTCAGATTTTTGCTCTTTTTTGGTGGAGCTTCTAATGATCATAAGAAGATTCATTGTATGAGTTGGAAGCAAATGTGGCTTCCTAAAGATCTTGGGGGCCTCAACTTTCGGGATCGTGAAAGTTTCAATAAGGCTCTCCTAACTAAGAAAGCTTGGAGATTTCTTCAACATCATGATTTGCTTGTTTCCAGAGTTATCAAAGCCAAATATTTCTCGGATTCTTCCTTGTTTGAAGCTGAGGCTCATACTCATTCTTCCTATTTTTGGAAGAGTTTTTTATAGGGCAGAGAACTTCTGTCTAAGGGCATTAGAAAGTGTATTGGTACTGATCAATCTACAAGAGTATTTCGTGATCCATAGATTCCCCGAGAAAGGTCGTTCTGCCCTTTCATTTCTCCACCCTCACCGCCAGATTCGGACATTATGGTCTCAAATCTAATTTCCCCTATTGGATGTTGGAACTTACAGAGGCTACAATCTCTCTTTTGTCAAGATAATATTGATTATATCTGGTCTATTCATGTTAGTAAGTTCAATATTCCGGATAGATGGCAGTGGCATATTATGACTATCATGATTTTTTTAGTGTTAAGAGTGCCTATGAGCTCAATATGTCTCTAAACATGGCTAATCAACCTAGTTGTTCTACTGAAATGGGCACTTTCTGGCACTCAATTTGGAAGCTTAAAATTCCAACAAAATTCTGAAAATGTTTTTCATGATATTTTGCCTACTATGCATAATATCTATAGGAAGGGGCTCGATGTCTTACCTTATTGTCCGTGTTGTAGGAAGCATGTTGAAATTTCGGGCCATGCTATTTTCCAGTGCAAACGTGCTCACCAAATTTGGAGGATTTTTTTCTCGCATAGCCCAATCCCTCATCATCAACACCTCTGTTTTTGGAACTTCTGGGTCTATCTTCAGAACACCCTCATTGATATGGAGAAGGAGCTTGCTGCCATCACTCGTTGGTCGACATGGAATGACCGCAATTAATTAAACCAACAAAAGCCACTTCCAGATGTATTTATCAAAAGTAGCTGGGTTACCTCTTATGCTGATACTTACCGTGAAGCAAGGAGTCGTTCCATTCCAGAAGCTTCGGGAGACAGATCTCACCTTTCATGGGTTCCTCCTTAAGCTAATTTCCTGAAGCTAAATACAGATACTACATGCAAGGAAAAGCACAAAGGTATCAGAGTGGGTTTCATTTTTTAGGATTCTTCTAGCTTCGTACATGCAATAGATTCCTTTTTTCACCCATTTTATCTCCCTCCACTTCTGGCCCAGCTTCTTGCTATCCTTCAAGGTATCAAACATGCTCAGACTCTCAATTGTAGAAAAATTATTGTGGAATCGGACTCCCTTGAAGTGATTTCTCTTCTTTAACAAAAGTTGAAGTCTATGGCAGCTTCGGGCGTCTGGGTTTGTGACATTTTGCAAAAAGCCCATCAATTTGAGTCTTGTTCCTTCTGTTATGTCCACCGTGAGCTAAACCGACCAGCGCATTTTTTGGCAAAGCAAGGGTTTCAATTGCAAATTTCTAATTTCTGCACTTCTTCATTTCCCCTCTAGCTTTGTGGCCTTGTTGAGGAGTTTTTATTGTCTTCTGTTGCCCACATGGCTTCTTTTTAATACATAAATATTTATCCTTCAAAAAAAGGAAAAAAACTACTACTACAACCTCCAACAAAAACACCTCTTAATGAAAAATAAAATAGATGACATCTCATTCCTCTCATTCCAAATTAATCACCCAGTTTGACACATTTAGAATTTTCTTGATTTTGGTTCAAACATTTTTCAAAAAAAATTTCATGCTTTTTTATTGTCATTGAAGCAACCGTGCAAAGTTCTTGAATGACAATTTGCTTTCTTGTCCATGCTCTCCTCCTCTATGCATTCAGACCAAAAAGTAATACTTCTTATCTTCTGCCAACACCAATTTGTTATAACACTTGCTTTTTTTCCTTTTTTTGTTTCCTGGAACAATTAAGTTTAGTTTTATTTTTGTAAAAAATAAAAAAATAAATAAAACTTTTTACCAATTAGCTTCAAATCGTTGAAATATTAAACTACGCTACATTTGATCAAATATTTAGCACCATCAAATATTGTTACATAAGCTTATTCTTCACCATCTGATACTACAAATCTTAATAGATATTTTCTCACGAATGTTAATTTTTCATTGTCACAAGTTTGACAATTTGTTGTAGAATCATAATCTCTAGGATGCAGCTTTTCAATGCATGTATTGCATTTTTCAAACCATGGATTGTCCTTGTTTTGAATCTTTACAATTCTTCCAATAAAACAACAAGCAAGATCTTCAACTTTTCCTTTAATAATGTCTCTCAATGTTGTTTCTTTTGCTTCCACCAACTTCTTTGATGGATGTAAAAGATGTCCGAGTTTTCTTATTGACCTTGCATTCTAAAAAAGGTTTATTTAAAAAGTTAAAAAATAAATAACTATAAACCAACAAAATATATATATATATATATATATTAAAAATTAAGATCTATGAAATTTTTATCGTTAGAAAAAAGATTAAAAAAATGTAAATCAAAAAAGTTTTTAAAAGTTTTTTGATGTTTTAATTAAAAGTTATTTGAATACTTGTCTTGTTTTAAGTGCATCCGCAACCTCCATTAAGGAATTTATCACAATAACACTTGTATTTGTGAATGATATCAAAGTATAAGTATTAGTAATAAGATTTACAATTGTATAAAATTAAATTATGCAATAACTAAAAGACTTTACCTTCGTACATACTTTTTCTTATGTTTGTGATAAGAATTACATTATTTCCACCGTAATTTTCTTTTTAGAAATGTCCTTCAATTTCAGCTAAATCATCCCACAATATAAATTTTAGAATATTAAATCTGCTGTGTAAGGATACTAGATTGATTTTGTCAATCAATAGTTTTACATATAAACAACAAAGTCAATGTAAGTAATAAATCTAAATAATACTTATTATCCATGATTTGAATCTCGCACTTCTTTCTCTAGGTTGCTTGACATTTATGAACAACCATTGAATTCACCTCCCGCCTAAGACATCTGCATATAATTTGAAATTGTATTTTGTCAAGAAATAAACCATGTAAATGAAATTACAATGTCATACATACCCATTTGTGTAGTCGTATCATTTGCATTTGCCACTGATTCGAAGTTAACTAAGTTAAATCTTTTAAGTTATATATCTCTCCTTCGACTTTTTCAATGTCACTGTTTTGTGTTAATGACATTTCAATTTTTTCATTGATATTTGGGAATGTCGTGTCAATTGGCTTTATACTCCCATCAACAATTTTGTATGTTTTTTCCTTGTCTAGCTTTGCCACGAATTTGTCAATCAAATCGTTGGACAAAATAATTTGAATACTTTCTCCCTACAATTATATTTGATGCCAATTATAACCAATCTCATTAAATAGAATGCAAATGAATTTAAAAACATTCTTACCTACTTATCAATATCAATGAATTTTTTTATCATTGTTGGATCTTCTTTTCTGCTAGTAAACTGTTTTTTAAGGAATTTTCTAACGATAGTTACGTTTATCGACCACCCTGTTTGAAATGGGTTCARTTCCGCGATCGATAGATCAGTAGTTGACATCTCTGTCATCTAGTTGAAATTTGATAACCAAATTATTTGACGTTATGAAACTATAGTAATAATTATTAAAAAAGTAAAATAATTGAAAATTAATAACTTACCTTGAAGGATAAAGATTTAGCTTTCTTGAGTACTCGACTTCAGGATAGTTTGAGTGTGGAGATTTTTTGCATACTATAAATAGTAAGTATTGGGATATTATTTATATGCATAGTATGGAAAGCCAAACAAATTGTATTTAAATCTATAATAAATTTTTTTAATTATGGAAGTTTAATTATTGATTTTAATGATTATTAAATCACAATAATGTTAAAACGTTTCCATCTTTTCACCTTCTTTATTAAGCATTTTAGTTGTATGGAATTTTAATAATTGATTTTAATGATTGTTAAATCACAAAATAATGTTAAAATGTTTCCATCTTTTCACATTCCTTATTAATCATTACATTTAATGGTCTTAATTTTATTTATCAACACATAGACAAAATTTTAAGGAGACATTACAAATTCAATATCTGGCTTTTAAGTGGGGCGTTTGGAGTGTGTGCCAAAATTCCTTCATCACAATTGGATCGTTTTGAAGTTCATATAAATTAATAAATATTACATGGGTTGATGAAAGTAATTAATAAAAAATTGTGAGGGCAAAATAAACCTAAAATGAAAAATTGGGAGGGCAAACTAGACCTAAAATATTTTTTTATGGATCGTGGCATTTTAATATAGTTTAGATTACAAAGTAGACCGTATCCATAGTGTCACGAGGATAAGGTACCCAACCTTATCCATATACTATAGACCATTTAGGTTATTACTGAAACATTATCCACTTGTATATCGAACATATACTGTATATTTATTATATATATACTATATATCAAATGTATACAATGTATATTAAATATATACTATATATCAAATATATACAATGTATATTAAATATATACCTACATCAAATATATATTATTCTAGTTACATTAAATAACCTTAGATCTTAGTTTATTGGAATACGAGTAATGCAAAGAAAATAAATAAATAATTTGTCCAGTAATTACAAATTCACGAGCTAAGGGCACCAAACCCAACAAACTAGTTACCAAAACCAGTCAATTCATATCATGTTTGAAAATATTACGCATAATTTCACATTTGCTCTTTTTAGAAAACTAGGCAAAGTTGTGAGGAAATTGAATAAGTATTTCAAAAAATTTAACGTTGATCTCAGTATTTTGCTTGAAAAGTTATTTTGTTTGATATCCACTCTCTTTTACGGCCTACAAATTTGAACCACATATTTGAGAGATATGTCATTTTACCCTTGTCATAATTTTGAAATCTCATTTACAACGTTTGTCCTTCATTTGTCTTTTCTGTGTATCATCCTATTTATGAATGATGGTATAGTTGCTTACATTTGCATTATCCAAGGCAATGTGTTATTCGAAATCAAAGGCACGAGAACCTAGAGATAAGGATATTTGTTCTCTGAATACCATTGGGGTAAATATAACATTATATAAAGTTATCATAGGCAAAGTCATCATCACATTCTCGCTCAGTTAAAGAGTGCTTGATAGCCAAGTGTCCATTTGTTATGTGCACTCTTGATCCAACTGAAAGCACTTTTGAAGGGAAGTGAAAGCGATGATCGGGCTATTTTGACAATCCCAAGTTTATATTAAAAAGCAAGTGATTTCTCTCTCTCTTTTTCAAGATAGAAATTTCCCTTTATCATCATGCCTCAAGTGCACGTTTCATGCATTTTAGGCTTTTTCTCTGAGTACTCCTAAAAAACCTTACGCTAGGGCAAGAAATTTCATGAAGTTTTACTTTTCTTGAGCAAGTGTATTTTATTATCTTGTTGGTTAAATCAAATCTCATTAAAGATCGAGGTCGAAGTTTGTGTCAAGCCCAAGTCCATTGCATTTTATTTTATCGTTGGTCAAATCGAACACAATCGAAGATCGAGGTTGAAGTTTGGTGTCTATTGCGTTTTATTTTATCTTTTTTGTTAAATCAAACCTGATCGAAGATCAAGGTAAAAGCCTGTATCAAGTGCAGGTTAGTTGCATTTTATTTATCTTGTTGGTTAAATCAAACCCGATCAAAGATTGTGGTTAAAGCCTGAGTTAAACGCAGGTCCATTACACTTTATTTATCTTGTTGGTTAAATCGAACTTGATCGAAGATTGAGGTCGAAGCCTGTTTCAAGGGAGGTCTGTTGCATTTTATTTTCTTGTTGGTTAAATCGAGCTCGATCGAATATCGAGGTTAAAGCCTGTGTCAAGCCAGGTTAGTTGCATTGTATTTATCTGGTTGGTTAAATCAAACACGATCGAAGATCGAGGCTAAAGTCTGTGTCAAGCACAAGTCTATTGCAGTTTATTTATCTTGTTGGTTAAATCGAACCTCATCGAAGATCAAGGTTGAAGCTTGTGTCAATCTAGATTGGTTGCATTTTATTTCTCTTATTGGTTAAATCGAACCCGATCGAAGATCTAGATTGAAGCCTATATCAAGTTAGGTCCATTGCATTTTATTTTCTTGTTGGTTAAACCAAACCTGATCGAAGATCGAGGTCGAAACCTGTGTCAAGTCAGGTTTGTTGCACTTTATTTATCTTGTTGGTTAAATCGAACCCGATCGAAAATCAAATCTAAAGTTTATGTCAAGCCAAGTCCGTTGCCTTTTATTTTTCTTGTTGGCTAAATTGAAATTGATCGAATATCGAGGTCGAAGCCTGTGCCAAGCCAGGTCCG